GAGTGCGTCATCATGGGGGTACTGTTCGCACGCATCATCTTCGGTGAAGAAAATGGTCTCTTCTAACCTTGGCCGCTTCAGAGGATTTTGTTATTCTCTTTCTATTTCACGAGTTGAGGTCTTTGCCATGGCTGAAGTGCAGCCTGCAACAATCGATCCGTCGATGATCATTTGTATTACTCCTCGAACTGGCCTCTCTTCGGGCAGCTGTCTCTGCGGCTGCTTGTTCTATTTGTTGCTGGACTTGGGAGCATCTCTACTTTGCTCCCCCTGCCAACTTGTTTGATTTTTATTATCATTTAAAACAAAGTTTTTCAAATATCCGCGACGGATGAGTTCTTCTATCTCGTCGCGGAGGTTCTTACAATTTTCGGTGCTATGATCGTGATCTCTGTGGAAGTGGCAATATACATTTCTATTCCTGGTGTTCGGATCTCCTCTCACTCGAGGTGGCCACTTCAYGTAAGAAGCGTCCTTGATCGCCAAGAGGATTTCTGGTCGCTTCACATTCAAGGGCATGTAGTTTGTTCTTTCAACTGGAGAAGCTTAGAAAGGCTAATTCGGTTTTCCTCCTCCTCGAGCTGGCTCATCCTTCTTCCTCTTGTTGTCCCCGTTAGTTGAGGTCTCACCTACTCTTTTCCTCTTCTCTGGCGGATTCTTGCTCTTTTGCTTCATCTCTTCCTCTGTTCCGATGAATTGGTCGGCAAGCTTGAGGAACTCAGTAACATCTTTTGGTTTGTTGGCAACCACGTGCCACTTGAACTCTTTATGAGTGATACCTTCTTTGGCCATTGTAAGTCTCACGGTGGGTTCTAGATCACGGATCTGCAGACATGCATCATTGAATCTCTTGATGTAACTTTGGATAGGTTCTCTCTCCCTTTGGACTATGCCGAGCAGGCTTTCCTGGGACCTTGGGCACCTCTTGCTAGTGATGAAGTGCGAGGTAAAAATCTGCATGAACTGCACCCAACTCTTAATTGTCCCGGGTTCAAGGTTTCTATACCAAGTGCAAGCTACTCCTTTAAAAGTGGTGGAGAAAGCCACACACATGCAGGGTTCATCCACCCCGGCTAGGTGCATCTGCGACTGAAATGAATCTACGTGGTCATTCGGATCGAATGACCCGTCATACTTGTCTAGGGGAGGTACTTTGAAGTCCTTGGGCATTGAAGTTGCCAGGAGCTCGGGAGATAGGGGAGATGGTACAGAGAGGAGTGGGGCAGTCTTCACTGTTCCCGAGCTCGCTTCTTCCTTTCCTTTGGGCTAGTCGGGCTGGCTTTGAGCTGCAACTCGGCGAGCCTTGCGATGCCGCTTCTGTTGCTTCTTCACTGGCTCTGCATTAGTGCTACTGGCTTTAGTGTTATCGAGCACTGTTCTTGTAGGGAGCTGCTCAGACTACTGGTGGCGGTTGCTGTGAACTAAGGGGCCTTGCTTGGAATTCGCGGCCAGAACCCCGAATCGGTTCTCTATGAGCGGAACTTCAAACTGGGAGGGCCAAGGTGACATGACCCTGGCAGGCTGAGTATCTCTTGACCTGTTCACATGTTGGGAGGCAGGAGGGGTAAGCTGTTTCTCCCTCCTGCCGCGGGACGAGACTTGGCTCCTGTGAGGGTCCTGGACTTGGGAGGTCTCTCCCCGGCGAGGAGGGCGCTCACTCTGGCGGCGAGGCTTGACTTGCTGTGTGGCCAGATGCCGAGGTGGAACTGGCTGTTGAGTCTGCTGATTGTACGGCAGTGGGGGAAACTACTGCTGCTGATAGACATGGTGCAGGACTTGCTGTTGATACAGTTGAAACTACTGGACCTATTGTAATTGGGCTTGCATGACCCGCATGCAGTACAGCACCAGGTCGTCCAATTGATTTTATCCAATGCCGGGGGGATGACAGAAGGTTCGGTGAAGGTTGCACCCACCGTCAGAGGAAGTGGAGCATTCACCAGTGTAAGAACTTGAGACACATTGAGAGAGGGGATCCCGTCCGTAGAGAGAGGCACGGTAAATTGCTCGATACAGACAGTTGGGACCTGAGGTTGCCCCCCGGAGGTGTTCATGTCGGCATTTTGTCCGGCATTGCTGGAAAATGCCATTGAAGATGAGTTTAGGATGCTTGGCGGAAAAAGGCTTTTCGAAGCGTTTTCCCACAAACGACGCCAAATGATGGTGTGCAATCTGACTGTTCCTAGCTGGAGGTGACTTGGCTTCCAATAGACGACGGACGTGGAGATCTGCACAGAGAGAATCAGAGAACCCGGGGTTGCACCCGGCGAGGTCTCTCCGATGCTTAAGTTAGTAATGTGCGAGCTGAGAGCAATTAGAATGCAAGAGAGCTAGTAAGCAATAATTGCACGTACCTTTGCCCCCAAAGGGTTGGGGTCTTTATATACTGGAGTCATCGCGGGTTTTTCGGAGTGTTTCCGGGGTTCTCGCCATGATGAGGCCCGTTACCAAATTAATAGGAGATAACGACGCCAGCNGGCTCTGCATTAGTGCTACTGGCTTTAGTGTTATCGAGCACTGTTCTTGTAGGGAGCTGCTCAGACTACTGGTGGCGGTTGCTGTGAACTAAGGGGCCTTGCTTGGAATTCGCGGCCAGAACCCCGAATCGGTTCTCTATGAGCGGAACTTCAAACTGGGAGGGCCAAGGTGACATGACCCTGGCAGGCTGAGTATCTCTTGACCTGTTCACATGTTGGGAGGCAGGAGGGGTAAGCTGTTTCTCCCTCCTGCCGCGGGACGAGACTTGGCTCCTGTGAGGGTCCTGGACTTGGGAGGTCTCTCCCCGGCGAGGAGGGCGCTCACTCTGGCGGCGAGGCTTGACTTGCTGTGTGGCCAGATGCCGAGGTGGAACTGGCTGTTGAGTCTGCTGATTGTACGGCAGTGGGGGAAACTACTGCTGCTGATAGACATGGTGCAGGACTTGCTGTTGATACAGTTGAAACTACTGGACCTATTGTAATTGGGCTTGCATGACCCGCATGCAGTACAGCACCAGGTCGTCCAATTGATTTTATCCAATGCCGGGGGGATGACAGAAGGTTCGGTGAAGGTTGCACCCACCGTCAGAGGAAGTGGAGCATTCACCAGTGTAAGAACTTGAGACACATTGAGAGAGGGGATCCCGTCCGTAGAGAGAGGCACGGTAAATTGCTCGATACAGACAGTTGGGACCTGAGGTTGCCCCCCGGAGGTGTTCATGTCGGCATTTTGTCCGGCATTGCTGGAAAATGCCATTGAAGATGAGTTTAGGATGCTTGGCGGAAAAAGGCTTTTCGAAGCGTTTTCCCACAAACGACGCCAAATGATGGTGTGCAATCTGACTGTTCCTAGCTGGAGGTGACTTGGCTTCCAATAGACGACGGACGTGGAGATCTGCACAGAGAGAATCAGAGAACCCGGGGTTGCACCCGGCGAGGTCTCTCCGATGCTTAAGTTAGTAATGTGCGAGCTGAGAGCAATTAGAATGCAAGAGAGCTAGTAAGCAATAATTGCACGTACCTTTGCCCCCAAAGGGTTGGGGTCTTTATATACTGGAGTCATCGCGGGTTTTTCGGAGTGTTTCCGGGGTTCTCGCCATGATGAGGCCCGTTACCAAATTAATAGGAGATAACGACGCCAGCCGATAAGGCATATCACTGCCGTCAGAATTGGTCGTAGGAGATAAGGCCAGCTGTTACGTGGAGTGATCCCGTGAAACGGGGAATCCGGTGAYGAAACCTTCGGGGTCATCAAGTGGAGGTCGGCCAATAGTACCCGAACTAATGCCCCCTAGGTCCGGTCTGTTACGAACGCCGAGGTTCCTGGTAACCGAAGTGATCTTGACACAATCGTGCCCCGAAGTGAACTTGTTCCGAGTTGGATTCGCCTCCGAGGTGGGCTTGTCCCGAGGTGGTTCAGTTATCCGAGTTGGATCCGTCTTAGACTTGGGTATATCGGGATGAGCTGTTATTCTGTGAGTTAGGTCGTGTCCACGTGTCCCTCTATTATTAGGTCGGGCCAAATCACTCTACATCAAGTTGCACTGGCGAATGGCTTATGCTTATGAAGTCTTGAGGTAATAATTTCATTTGGTATTAGATGGATGATCAATACATATGATCTACTACAGTTCTTACAGCCAAAACAAAGTTGTTTCTGATTGTCCCTAAAACATCTGTAGATGAGAAAATTAAGTTCATCTGATTGGCCTATAATCAATCCTCAAATTGAAATTGAATTGGATGTTTGGAGCTGATTTCCATTCATGTGCATTGAATGTTCCTCATAATGCTCAAATACAAGAGTTTGTCATTTTCGTGTTGATCCTTATGATTCCTTTTCATTTAATTCATTAATGCTTCTTTGGAAACAGCCATTCTTTCTTTTGTGTCAATTTTATTTTGGAAACTGATCTAACTATGAAAGAAAATTGCTGTTATATACTTATATTTAATAATAATATTGGAAGAGAACTTTTTTTTTTTTATCAATATATTGGAAGAGAACTTGCTTTACAATGGTATTAGCATAACTGATAATCTTCAGCAATTAACAGGTCACCTTCCATGTCTCGCCCAAGATCAAAGTCCAGATCAAGATCTCCCATCAAGTACCGGCATAGCCATAGGTCTCGCTCTCTCTCACCTCGAACCCATAATCAAGTACCGGCATATCCATCACTCAAGGATATGCACAAATATGAAAAGTCCTCTTTAGAGCATACAAAAAATGAGAAGACCAGCACCTCCAGGAAGGAACGAGATTCTTCTGACAAAGGCAGGAGTCGTTCTCGCACTGACATTTCCAGCAGGCATGGAAAATCAACCTCAGAACATATTAGGCATGAAAAGGGTTCAGTCAGAAGGGAGAGAGATTTTCTTGATGATGATTCCACATTCTCAAGGGAAGACAGGAAAGCCGTGGATTCTTCAAAGTTCAAGTACCACAAGAGTAGTTCGAAGCATCGAGAGGATAGTTCATCTAGAAGTACAAAAGATAGACATTCTCTTGATGAAGATTCAACATATTCAAGGGAAGATAGGAGGGCCATGGATTATTCAACGTCCAAGTACCATAAGAGTAGTTCAAGGCATCGAGAAGATAGTTCTAGTAGAAGTACAAAAGATCAATACAGATGGAGGACAAGGAAGCCAAACCAGAAAAATCCACTGATGTCACCAAGGTTATTATGTCTACTGATATTGATCCATCCAATCTGAAAGAGGGTAATATAGATTCCCCGATGTTGAAATCTTACACATGTTCATCCCCCCATAAGGATCCAACTAATGGGGAACCAAAAGACCTGAAGAATGCAGAACTAGAAGGAACTGAGGTTGTTGCTGATAAAGAAGCTTATATCAATAATGATGTTGAGGGATTGGGGGAATTGACAGGCTTTGAAGTTGATGAGAAGCCCGATAAATATTCTAACAATCCTATGGAGTTGCAGGAAGAGGGAATGATTCCATGTTCTTTGGAGCAGGATACTTGGAAGAAAAACTCATCAGCTCTGGATGATGAACCTTCTTCTGATGCAGAAAATCTAGGCAAAGACAACAGGTCAATAGTGGAGAATGTATCTGGAAAAATCAAGCAACAGTATGACATTGAGGACTCAAAATGTGTGAAATATGATGATTTTAAAACTTCACCTGGCTCCATGGAACAAGACTTTTACACTGAAGACTGTGTACATGCCTGGGCCTAAGCCTGAGGAAGAAATGTCAGTGTTGCCAAATGATGAGAAATTGAAGGATACAAGGAAAAGGAGCAGGCATGAAACACCAGGAGAGTACAGAGAAATTTATGCAACTGGTTATGTTAAAAACAAGATAAAGTTAATAAAGATTTTTCTCAGCTGATAAGCCATAGCTATGAGAAGTCTGAGACTGGAGAAGATCAAAATGGGCCTAAATGGTCATTTCCTGGGGATAGAGATATTGATAAAACTGGATTGAGTAAGGACCAAGACGACATTATTTATGGTTTAGCAGATATGAAGGAAGATGAAAAGGTTGCAGTTTCTCCACCATCTCACAGGAGTTCAGCTTCACCTGAGGGAGCTAAGAGTTATGGAATCCCCAGGACTATAGAAGCTAAATACCAGCATAAAAAATCTAAACCAGACCATGGATATTTAGATTCAGGAATCTCTTCTTCAGGAGAGGATGANAAACTTTCTTTTGGTACTCAGGATTTGCTCAGCCTTTCAACTATCCTTGAAAGACACTTGTATTTGTGTATTTTTTGCAGGTTCAGTGGGGAGATATTGGAGGAAGAGTTTCGGAGCAAATCTTGGTCTGGTGAAAGTTTATTCAAGGAGTCAGCTTTTCCCCACATCCAGGATCTATCTGGCCAAGTCTGTAAACCTTGTTTTACTGCTTAATGTATGGACTATTAATCTCGTCACTAGGTAGAGAACTTCTTGATCCAAGTGCTTATTTTAAGGACAAAAATGTTGACTTGTCAGACTTCACCTTTTTTTTTGTTTATTTTTCTTGATCTTGTTCTTTTATTTCAAAGACATCAGAATGCTTTTCTAAAGTATTAGTGGCCTGGATCTTATCTAGATTAGGGATTTACATCTTGACCAATGCAGGGGCTTTCTGATGTTAATAGTTGCTGCATGAATGATATTCGGTGGAAAGATAATGGTGGTTGATGTCTTAGAAGGCGAACCTGAGCTGTAGGTTTGTTTTCCAGAATGCTTGCGTGGTCACATTGCATGATAAGGCTTCTCTTCTTTCTATCTTTGTTTTATTTCTTGTCTGTACTGGTTGGTTGAAGAGTGTCTTGCATTGTGGTCATCCAATCTCTGAGATTTCTGGTTATAGGCTCCATGTTATTGTCTTTAATGGCTGGTGGTGTCTGTCATATCCAAAACATGTGCAGGATTTACATGGTGGTTTTTTGTAGGAGCTTTGTCAGAGCAATTTTGCAGAATTCATCTTCTCTATTTGTGATAGAGGTATGCAGACCTGTAGGGTTACAGACCTGTATCCTCTAATGCTCTCCAACCAAATTGAAAACTTCCCCCTGGAGTCTTCACCTATACTTGCTTGAGATGGAAGTAAAAGAAAAAAAAGCAAGTATAGGTTTAAGACACTGTTGGGCTGAACTTAGAACTTAGAACTACAACCTGGTATGGTCGAATGAAGCCAGACACTGTTGGGCTGAACTTAGAACTACAACCTCATCATGTTAGCTTTGAGAAGAGTGGCCGTTATACTTTTAATCTATGGGGAATTGCGACTGGTGATTTTTAACAGGTAATTTTCTGTGAAATTTGTTATAGTTTGGTTGGGCTCTTCACTCTTATTAATTGATTAGTTGGGTCAGAATCATAGTCCTATTTCATAAACAATAGCTGCTGCCTGCTGGTACTCTGGATCTCTATAAATTCTGGGTGCACCAAAGAGACTCATCTTTCCATCCGTAATTGCCACATGACTTGAAACTACCCCTAATTCCGAAAAGAAAAAGGCCATTTGGAAGGTAGATGAACTTCATGAACTGTAGTAACATATACTAGTCAACAGTCTTAATTTTTAAGTGCATATACTGATATGCCATGCTGAGTTATTTTATTGCTGTCTGTTTTCTGGACAAGATGACGGCATCACATCTGCATGTAAATTTAGTTTTAAGGCATGGAACTCCTTCACACATCTAGGGTTTATCTCTTTATGGTGTAGAAAACTTGAGTAAGCGAAGGGGGTGTTGGACAATATGCATTGTTTTAGAGAAAACATATGGTATTGTATTAAACTGGAAAAAGCATTACAAGGCCCTGTTCAATGAAAAGTGCGCAGGGTTCAACCAATCCATCTTTTGTAATACTGATTACACTGTATACCTGATACAAAAGATTACTAGTATAAAAAAAAAGAACTATAAGATGTATTCTTTTACTGCCTTTGTCCTGATGCGCGTTAGTATATTCTAACCCAGAAGCTCTTCAATAGTATCTCATCTGTGCTAGTTTTTAAAAAGTGTCCTATTTCTCTGTCCATGTTGACCAAACCACTGCTGTGTGTCTCACTACTCCCCTTGGGATTTTTCCTTTGTGGGACAAAACCCTTCAAGTGCCAGCCCCAGAATACTGCCTTCAAATCCCTGTGAAAGCATGATTTTACCTTGAACGGCTCCCGAGAGTTTGCCCATAACATCCTTGCAGGCTTTGCAATGAATGAATGTTTGTTTCACCATTTATTTTGTTCCATGCAACAAAAATAATTGCCATGCCAGAAAAAGCAAACGTTTTTGCTGATGTCACAGTTTGTTCTACAAAGCAAAAACATGAATAGTTTGGCAAACACCCCTGTCCTCTATCTTCCCCTTTTCTTGTTTTTTTTCTTTTATTTTCCTCTTCTCCTCAGCAACAAATTCATGATATTAGGATGAGCTGTGGATAGGGAGCTGAAGTCCTTGGGTTGAGCCCTCATCTTATTACTTTCTGCTGGAAATGGATGCAAACGGATATTGTTCTTGTTCTTTGTTTTAGTGCCTACTATCTTTGATCTTTCCAAGTGAACCATTGAAATTTTGCATTGGCTTCTCACAGGGGGTTGAACTTATTGTGCATTGAATTGTGTTTGTCATGAGAAGCGGCTCGGATTCATTTATGTTTATGCCTTAAGAAATGAAATTGAATTTTCCATTCTGCAGGCTAAAACTATGGCTTAAGCTCGGCATAGACTTTGTAACCAAACAAATTAAGATCACAACCATTTTTTGATTGAGAAGGCCATCCTTTTATTATTATTATTAATATTTTTTTGATAATAACTTGGAAGGGGGGATACTTATATAATGCAATTTTATCTTTTTTTTTTTTTAATCTAAATCACCCATTAACTCGCTTCACTCTCCACTCCTTTCATTCACGTTTGTAAGTCTCCTGATTTGAATTCAATTCAAGTCTTTCATTAAAAAATCAGCCCAGGTTACTAATATTAAAGACTAAGGGTCCACTTGGTTTGCAGAAATAGGGGTCTGGAGTTGGAATCAGACCGGTCCATTCCAATTCCAACCGTTTGCTTGAATTGCAGGGGCAAGGTTGCGTACACTCCCCAGACTTTGTATTGGTGGGGGCTGCATGCATTAAGCTGCCCTGTTTGAATTTGATTTGATTCCTCCTATCCCAATTACTATTCCGATCCCATTACTGCCCTGTCTGACTCAGAGTCATTTGGATCCTAACTTTAGCCCCTTTCTATACAATTATACCCTAGAACCTGCGAAAGTAAAATGTGTCTTAACTTCTAACATTTTAAGTACAGAGAAATTATCGGAAAAAAGGAGAAGAAAACATATTTGAAGAATAATTTAAACAAAAAAATGTATTGTGATTTAGGCCCCTAAGTTTACTCTAGGAGGGGTGACCACCTTAAATTTTATAAATCAACCATTATTAAAAGGGAGGTAGATTAAAATAGGTGATCCTGAATACATAACACAGTTTCAGCAWCTCTACCCAACCCAAAAAATACAAACTGTAAAATACACAGAGAAAAGAAAAGCAATACGATTATCCCATTCGAAGAACAGGAACCTGTTCATAGTCCTCTTTACAAACATGACAATGCCATTAGGAAGGTGTTGCACCGGAGTATAGGTATGGAAATTCTGCTGAGTAATCCTCTATTAATCAAGTTGATTAATTTCACACATGATATAGGTGATTTTCCATGGGGTAGCAACCTTCTCAAGAAGGCTATCAACCAAAACCTTGTTATCACTCTCCACTTCAACCACTGTAATGCCATGATTGAAACTTAGTTGCAAACCATCCCTAAGAGCCATCACCTCAGCAATAAGCAAAGTCTCCTCAACAAAAGGCTCCAATGCTATTTCTTACAACTCCACCACAACTGCCTCGGYTACCAACTTACCATGACAAACCCCATTACATTCATCATTGAGATTTATTTTATTTTCCTTATTTAAATATGCATATTTTGATTCTTTTACTATATATATATTTTTTTAATTTTAATGTTTTGTAAGTCTATTCTAGTAGTTCACACTCCATATCAAGATTTAAAGTGTCGATGCATATTGGTTTTGGAATCCACTAATACTAAGTATAAAAAGTTGGATGTTTTCCTCTACCCAAAAATAAAAGAAAAGTGTTGGGTGTTTTCAACTATATTAAATATTAATAGGTGGTGTGACATCTCCTAGACAAATTACCTTTCAAAAAGAAAAAAATAACAAGGAGTTTTTTGTATTCGGGTTGTGTTTGTTTGAGGTGTAAAATCGATCTGGGGTAAATGTCCTAAACAAATTACCTTTCATTTCTATTTGTTCTTAGCATGGAGCTTATTAGACAGCGTATGCCCTTAGCTCCAATCAGATTGATATACATTGGACATTTATTGTAAATGAATACAAGTACATAATTGATTCATGTTATATTTGGTATGTTTCTGTGTAAGTACCCTTAAACTGGACACTTATAAGACTCGTGTTAGTTTAGAATGTTTTTAGCCGTTGGATAGACCTAGGGGATTTATCATGCCAAGGTTTACCATAATGTGTTGCCAAGTCGATTGGGGTAACTTGTCTCAACTGTTAGGGTGAGACCCGAAGCACATGTAGTGTGTGTTTACTTGAAACACTGAACACAAATCATTTTCCAATTATGCCCTAGACCTTAGAGACTGGTGGGCAAAGTTGGAAAGTTACACCTAACCCCTAGACTCGATTATGGTACTGCACTAGGTGTTGGGCTGGGTTGTCTTTGATATGCCAATCAGTGAGATCTTTAACGGGGGTCAAAATCTGGGTATGTTGGGTTAGTCTAAGAATTCACTCGAGTGGGTGATCATAGTGACATAATCAATCCCTATGTCTAACAAAGTGAATGATCGGGGACTGCACTCTCTTTAATGGAACCAAAACTATTGGCAGTCAATTTCAACCGTGTTTGAGATTTGTTTTTGCAAAATATGTTTTTATATATATATATTATGTTTTATGAAAAATGTTTGCAAAAGGTTTTAATTCTCGAGATCCATCCGAGTAGAGAGTGCAACACTGTACATTGCAGCCGAGGAAGAGGCCCTCTCTTGTCGGGTAGTGTTTGATCATTATGTACTGAGATGTTAAGTGTAAGACCATTCAGGGATTTTATACCTGATGGGTTAATCTCACTTAAGACCATAGTCCTTAGGCTTTCATAAGGTGGCTGGACTCAAGGACCCTTTACTGTAAATGTTGGGCCCAGTAAGAGCCCATATTGATGGACTTAGGGGTTCACTGTGTTCAACAGTGAATTCGGCTAGGCCTTGTAACAGATGTTAGGTTTAACCCATATGGCTTTTGTGATGTCAATGTTAGGGTCCCATGCTATACAAAGAGAGCCAAGTTAGCCAGCAGTTAGAAGGGGAAGTGGGCCTCCTATCTTAATGGGCCTAAGACCCATTATTAACTGGATTAATTAAGAAGTCACATGACAGCTTAAGCAATCACGTGACTTGGGCGAATTTGGGTATGGATATGGGCGTATATCAGCAATGGGATAAGAGGATAACTTTTATCCACTTAAGGAGTCCATATCCAATAAAGATTTGGATTAGGAAGCTCCTAATTAGATTAGGATAAACTAATCTTTAGGGCTTATAAGTAGAGGGGGCGAACTACTTCCGTTTTCACCTTTCTACTCTTAGTTCTCTCCCTCTATTCTTGCTGCCCAAACCCTAATTCAATCTCTAGTTTTTGAATTGATAGAGATCAGTTCATACCTTAAATTTTGCAAGAAAATCATATCAGATTTGGTGCTCACACTCCCTTGCTTGATCCAAGCCATTGGATTGCAGTTCTTG